CTTACTTCCTCTTGTAGTTGCTGCTGTTCCTGAAAGGGTTCTCAGAGTCTGAGCGGAACAAACTGGCCATGCTGACAGGTATTCTGCTTGCCAACGGGACGCTTAATGCATCAATTCTCAACAGTCTTTACAATGAGAACTTGGTTAAAGAAGGTAAGTGTTGCCCAACTCTTACTTTAGGGAAGGATGGTGGTGGACAGAACCATGACAAGTTAAGCAGAAATTGCAGTGACAGTACACCCTTGCAACTCACTAGCTTCATCTAGTGATAGATTTACTAAAGGATTAACAGAGGTAAATATGCTGCCTCACAACATGGAAGGCCCTGATAAGTCTTTTCAGAAAGCTTGTGTGTAGGACTTCCCTGTGTGACACTGGGGTTGCCATCACTGCTGTTGCCCAGCAAGGTAGTACTGTATTTTGGAGGAGGACCTTTCAGGATGCAGAAGGTGTGCTGTTTCTTCAGGCTTCTTCATAAATTACAGCAAGGAGAGTTAAGTTTAGTAGAGGGAAGTCTTTGTGATGCTGAGTGGTAAGAGAAGTCCAATGTGCCTGAGACCACAGTACCCTCAGGCAGAGGTACTGTGAACTGTGGTGGGTCTGCCTCTGAGTACAGGGGCTACTGCTTCAAGCAGGGCTCTGACAAACCAGGTGCCGTGTACTCTTAGGCCTTTCGATTCCCTTTGTTTCTACTGTCAGTAGTAACAGTACTACTCCGATTGCACAGGTGTTTCTGCAGCTTTTGCAGTCAAGCTGTTCAAATCATGGATAAATGAGAAAGATATTAATGCAGTGGCTGTCAGTCTTCGTAAAGTCAACATGGATAACAGGCTGATGGTGAGTACCACTGAAATTACTGAATTACTACTTAAGCCAGTTTAGTGACTGGCATTTACCAGCAAAGCACCCAACATGCATTTGCTTTGTGAAAGAGTTGTAAACTTTGTTTTCAGGAACTCTTCCCAGCCAACAAACAAAGTGTTGAACACTTCTCCAAGTACTTCACTGAAGCAGGACTGAAGGAACTTTCTGAGTATGTTCGGAACCAGCAGAGCATAGGAGCTCGGAAAGAGCTGCAGAAAGAACTTCAGGAGCAGATGTCTCGGGGAGATCCGTTCAAGGATGTAAGTATTTGGCTGTAGACAAGGTGGGATGCTTTTTATTTTTCATTTTCCTGTAGGAACTTTGCTCAAATTTTCTGAAATACAGCAGCATTTAGTACTAATCTGAAGATCTGTGCTTAATTAAATACTGAATTTGGCTCTCGCTAAGAATTAAAATCGGGACCAGGGTGCTTTGGTATTAGCTTTGTAGTCTTTCCTTAACGTCCTGAATCTTGCTGTATGACCAAAGGGCTGTGTTTGGTTCTGAAGGCTTCTGGGTTACATTTAGAACAGAAGTTTTAATTTAGCTTAATGTCATATGTGGCTTATGTGCTGACTCTTTCATTCTGACAGATAATCTTGTACGTGAAGGAGGAGATGAAGAAAAACAACATCTCAGAACAGACTGTGGTAGCCATAATCTGGTCAAGTGTAATGAGTACGGTGGAATGGAACAAAAAGGAGGAGCTGGTAGCAGAGCAAGCCATTAAGCACTTGAAGGTATTGCAATTTAAGTATGGAGATTAGCACCTGTTGTGTAGGGCTTGGGCTTCCCTCTGTCTCCAGCTCCCTTTAAAACGAGTTGAAGCCTGAGTTTCCTCCCTGATGCAGAGACAGCAGTAAACAGGGAAATCCTCCCCTTGTAACTGTGGTATTATAGTCTGAGGTACTGAGGCAAAAGCAGTGTGACTTCCACAGAAAGCACTCTGGGCTGCGCTGGGGGTTGCACAGTTGCTGATGGAGACTGCATGAAACCAGTCTAGTTCAGTGATAAATGTGAAGTGCTCCGTGTGTGCCAATCTGTCATTCCTCTTGCAGCAATACAGCCCTCTACTTGCTGCCTTTACTACCCAAGGTCAGTCAGAGCTGACTCTTCTGTTGAAGATTCAGGAGTATTGTTATGACAATATTCACTTCATGAAGGCCTTCCAGAAAATAGTGGTGCTCTTCTATAAAGGTAAATTCTGTGGAGTTGTAGGTTTTGAGGGGGGAGAGTGGTTTTGGATTTTAAAGCCTGTATTTGCAGAATGCTTCAGTCCTGATAAGACCTTTAAGGAAGATCAGTGCTACAACATTGCACTTCATGTGCTGAAAAATTTTCTATCTCCTGTTTCCAAAGATGGAGGAGTAAAATGCAAAGATGGATGTGGCTGTCCTTGTTCAGAGGAGTACTTCCCCATGTCCAAAGATGCTTCCTGTCTAGTCTTAGATGTTCAGAGTTGTGGTAGATCAAATCTAGATTTCTAAGGCTCTTTTTCACTTTTTTATGTTAGGGAAAGATACATGATATATGTATTCTTAGCATGTTGTCTGAACACGGACTGTGAACAGCCAGAGACTGAGACTGCTAAGGTGTTCTGGGGTGCTCTATGCTGTTAAGAGGCATTACTAAAAAGCATGCTGTGCACCTGTGGAAACTCCACAGGAACAGAAAGAAACTTGTTGCTAAACTGAAAATTGTATTTTACTTGTAAAATTTAAGAATTTGCATTTGTTCTTAGCTATTGAGTGAAGTTTTCCTTAGAGTGTTATTGCAGATAGTTGTGAAATACCCCGGACTTGTAGTGGGAGTGATAGTGCACTCCTCAGTGCAGTGCTTTGGAAACCCTCAGCAGCCAACATGAAACATAAGGTTCTCAGAATTTTAAACCAGAAGGCACTCCTGGTACAAGTGTATCCAGGCATACCCAGGGGAGGAGGATGTATTGTGATGCTTTTAGGGCAGGAAGCAAAGGCTGCCAGCTGGGGCTTCTCTGCAGCTGCTGTTGAGTGGTTTGCTGTATTAAGACTGCTCTTGCACATCTTACAGCTGAAGTTCTGAGTGAAGAACCCATCCTCAAGTGGTATAAAGATGCAC